CCCTGCTGGCCTTTGGTACCATAAATCAGAGTGCAGCTCCCTCAGCCAATGTGAGGATGGACAAAGATGCCTGAAGTTGCCCCTGTTTCTTCTTAGATGCACCAAATTTGTAACAGACAAGTAGTCATCTTATCTGAGATTGTGCACCTGCACTGCCCTTAGAGGACTCCTTTTCATTTTGGTAATGATATGCTATGTGAACCAGGTGAAAATGCTTTGGTCCCCTCAATATGCAAATGAGGAGACCCAGCTCTTCCTTGTCAAGAGACTCTTAATGACAGTGTATTTGCTGACACAGCAGTTGAATAAAATTTAGCTGACTCAAATTCATTCCCCAAATAAGAGGGGAGAGCTTGAAGTAGAATGAGGAAGAACTTGGAAGAGGTGATTTAAATGGCGGCTTTCTCCCTCTGTGCTGCAAATACCCATTACCAAGATACGAATTAAATGCTTAATATTTACAGTCCTCTTTGAAGTCAAGTCTTTGCCTCTAACCATCTGAACAGCATCATTATGTAAAAATGTTGACTTTATGTAAAAATGCTGAACTCTTCAAACCTGCAGTTCACCAACTTCAGCACATCTGTGTCATGTTCTTGAGCTGATCTTAAAGGGTACCTGGATACTGCAAAAGATGCAGCAGCATACAGCAGTTTAGCACCTCGGTGGAACGGATTTGTAGGAATGCATAGGTTAGTAGTTTCTCTTCTGTGTTGGATCCCAATATAATTTCAGCTAAGAGTCCCCATTTTGGAAGATCTGGATTTGATAAAATCAGGTACACCAATGTGCCTAGAAGTTTCTTTGCATCAATAGTGATCAACAAAGTTGATCAAATAATATGTGGGATTGACACCCTTTCTTTTTCACTTTCAATTGTTTCCAATTAATCAAATTATGACATTGTAATGGCTTTGTCTTGCAAAGTAACTTCCAGGATATGTCTGTGAAAGATGAAGAGCTTTGGCAGAGACAAAGCAGTCAAGTTCTTCTTAGATGAAAAAATACACTGTTTTGGGAGATCAGTTGGGGATGAATTATGTATTATGCTTCTGGGCCAAATTTTTTAAAATTATGCTGAAAAAATCTGCACTTGAATGTTTTATCTTTTGTTTAAATTTAGACAGTAACAACTGAACCCTAGATCAGTCCTTGGGGACTTGTTTGGCTGGCAGGAAGAGTTTTTTGGCTTGGATCATTATTCATGCTACCTGTAGGCATTACAGGAAAAGTCCTGGATGATGGCAGATGCATTTACTTTAACTATTAAAAAAAATTAAATACCTCTAAAGCATCAAACTTTTGCATAAATCCTCATCTACCTCCATGCAGTCATTCTTTTGGAGCATCATGGAGGTGATTTTTATGCCATATTTAGTGCAATAATACCACTGGGCTCTTAGAACCCAAAGCAGAGGGATAGAAATACTAACTCCTGTGAAGTTAAGTATACGAGTACAGTATTAGTTTTTATAGATTCAAAAGATCATGTAGGTTAGAAGAGACCTCTGGAGGTCATGTAGCATTGCTCAAAGCAGGTCCAAATACAGCAGGGTGCTCAGCACCTTGGACAGTTGAGTTTTGAGCATCTCCAAGGATGGAGATTCTGCAACCTCTTGAAGTACTTGCCCCACTTGTTGACCACTTTCATGTCACACAGAATCACACAAAATCACACAGAATCACTAAGATTGGAAAGGACCTTCAAGATCATCAAGTCCAACCATTAATCCAAGGCCACCATGCCCCCTAAACCATGTCCTGAAGTGCCACAACAACAAAAAAAAAAAAGTTTCCTTATATCTAGTTGGAATTTTCATGTTCCAACTTATGTCTGTTGCATCTCATTACTGTGCAACTGTGCACCCTCAAGAACAGTCCATTTCTGTCTTTGAAGACAGCAATAGGATCTCACCATAGTCTTCTCATAAAGCTGAACAAACCAGCTCACCCATTCATTGTATGGTTGTTCCAGCCTGTACAAAATCCAGGATGACGTCGTGTCTTGTACTGCAAAACCCAAACCTGGACACAGTACTCCAGATATGGTCTCACAATTGCCAAATGGAGGGGGAGAATTACAACTCTTGACCTGCTAGCTGCAATGTTGCAAACACAGGCCAGGATGTGGTTGGCTGCCTTTATTGTAAGGGCACGCTGCTGGCTCATGTTCATCTTCTTGTCCTCCAGGACCCCCAGGTCTTTTTTCTGCGGAACTACTTTATAGCCAGCCAGTGCCCACCCTATATTGCTGCACAGGGTTATTCCAGCCCCCATGCAGGATATTGTATCTTCCTGTGTTGGTCTTCATGAGTTTCCATTTGTCCAGCCTGTCTTAGACCCTGACTTCTGGCCTATTGACCACTCTCCCTGTATTTGGTATTGTCCACAAACTTTGCTGACAATATATTTTGTCCCAGCAGCTTTATTGGTAATAAAGATGTTAAACAGTATTGATGCTAGGATGAGTCCCTGAGGAAACAGCAAAGTTTGAAACACCAATATCTTAGCAGTTGCCTAAAAGGTGTAGTTTTTGACTTACACTGTATTTAAAAGGCTGTGCTATGTGCCCTATAAGTTGAGTCACTGAAGTTATTTGGGACCAAAGTGATGGCCAGTAGTTTGTGCTCAGAAGAAATCAAAGGTGAAGCTTAGACTAGTACACGTCATGTCTGAAAAAAGCAAAACTGCAGTTGCCCACCCATGGAAGTCAACAAGAGTCCAAAGTGTATGCATGGCAACTATCTGAAAAGACTGTAAGTCAGTGCAAGAGTTGCATACTTTGCCAAAACAGTTCAGCTGCTTTCCCATCCCCTTATCAATACTTCAGTCAGCTGCAGGTTGAACTAACTTGTTCTTTCTCCAGTTTCTGCCCAAGATACCTTGTATTAGTATTTCTTAAATAGCATAAAATGTTGTAAAAACTGAGTAGATTAAACATGTTCAGAATATTTTATACTGCCCTTCAGTGATAATTACTTCAGAACATAGAAGTGAGAATAAAATGCGGAAGAGTGTAGTCATCTTGTGCTCTTCAGCAAAAGTGTTATTGCCAGAAAAACATCCTCTGGGACTTCTTTGAGGACAAGAAAATTGCAAAAGGACATTCCTAATTACTCTGATTACAGCCATAAGATGAGTCAGTAACTTGTGATCAATGGTGTTACCAGTGGACTAGAGGTCAAATGCGGTCACTGTTAGCTGCCTATTTTTTGTTTCATTGTTGATCAGCCACTCTGTAGGGTTGGCATGATGGCTTGGCCCTTTCTATTTCAAGTTGTCAGTTAAAATTCACTGTCACTAAATGAGGGTCAAAACCTCTTCACTTAGAGGTGACTGTTCACTAATTAATAATTAGATTTGGGCAGCTGAAATCATCTTTCAAGTGAACAAATATTTGCATTGTAAAAAGCACCGTGTAACTGTAGTAGGTAGCTGTCTTGGAAGTTCTTAAGCTGATCCATTCCCTCGCTGTGCCTTTTCAAAAACACAGCTGGAACATGTTGATTATGTGGTGCAAAGCAAATTTACATAGTTGTCTATGCTGTGCTATTATGTTGCATAAGCCGCTGGCTTTATTGGCTAGGTTTTGAGCATTTTGATAGCAACAGATTCTATTTAAAATACATATTCAACACTTTGTGGGGAAAAAAGAAAGTAACAGCAGTATCACTGTCAGAAGACAATTCTTCGGTAGTTGTGTATCCCTCGTTGAGGATACATTTTCTCCGTCCTCCCCATGGCAGCCCCTCTTTTCATGTCTTCTATGGCCTTAACCTCACATAAAACATCCAATTTCTCACTCAGTATTTATCAAGTCCTAAATTCCTGTGTCCCCTACCTGTATTGTGCTAAGGGGTAGCTGGTCATGAGTGGTGTGCCCTGATTGATCGGCCAGCTGATGAGCCAGAACAGACCACATCAAACTCAAATTACAGAATTTAAGTGGTACTTAGGTGGTGTTCTGTCCTCTGAGTGGCCATAGTGTCCATCTGTTGTTGTGTTGCCATTGCTCCCCCCTGGTTATAGGAGCTTAGTATATTGAAGATGCCTATTAAGTGTAGGTTTAACTAGTCAGATTCTTAAATTATTATAGGGGAAATTGCTAGGCATAGCCAGGAGTTACCTAAAGAATAACAGTAGTATTTTTTCACAATAAAATTGAGGGAGTTGACTAACTGTAGGTACATTTTTGTCAAGATTCTTACATATTAAAAACATATAAAGAAAATCTAACTTTAGAATGACAGCATGTTGTATATATTGGTTGCATCAGTCCCAACTGTTACTTAACGTTTTCACCTTTTCAAAATAGCATATGAAATGGGGTTTTCATATATTCAGTGTAAAGTTTATTCTATTTGTGCTATTTAAACAGTGTTCAGTATCTTACCTAAACTTTAAGTTCTGATTACGTTTCTAAAAGATTTTGTCTTTATTTCAGCCGGGAGGTTATCTGGGCTTGTTTTGTCCTCTGGTGTGGTCTGCTTAAGTTTGCTAGACAAAGTTGCCTTCTTGTTAGGTAGCTGGCATGGGGTGATATGGAGAAGAAGGGTGATCAAGGAGGCAAATTTGTGGTTTTGATTAGTACTCAGTTGCTGGATTTGATCTGATTAGAGTTCAGTTGTTTATTGTTATATAGCTCCCTAATTCTTGGCCAGCTGTTGGTTACAGGAAGTTTACCCAAAATCTGCAAGCTGAAAGGGGCAGTAAATGATTCTTGCACATAGAATTGTGATAAACTAGGTCATTACGAACTGCAGAGGAGACTACTACAGACTTCTCTTTTTTACGCTTCTATCACCACATATACTTCGGGAAAATGCAAGGGGATTTTGGACTGAAAAGTCCAAAGTTTGAAGATATCTATGCAGGGATGAAATGAAGGCTTGCATCTCAATTTTTTTATAACTTTCATTATTTGGCAAGAGCCTTGTTTCACCTCATTTCAGGTTTTAGTCTTTTTAAGACAAACCAAACCCACCCTTTTCTCTCTCCAGGTCTCCTGCAAGCGCAGAATCTCTTAACGCAACTACCTCAGCAAAGCCAAGCCAACCTCCTGCAGTCTCAGCCAAGCATCACCCTTGCCTCGCAGGTCAGGCTTATTTCTACAGTTCATGAGTTGCTTTGAGGGGATTTGAACTATTGCAAGTGACTGGACCCTTTGTATTAGTTACCGGAGTAGATATTTTAGCTATAATAGTGAGTTTGTCTTTCTAGCAATATAGCTAGATATTGTATATCTATATATATCTATCTATATATATATATATATACACACATCTATATGTATATTGATATAGCAATATAGCTAGATATACACACTTCAGTGTATAGCTGAAGTATCAGTTAACTTCAGTTTTGTAGTTTCCACCCTAATGTGCCTCTTTTCATGCATTTAAAATTTTGAATTTTTATTTTTAGCTGAAAATTTCCATGATTGATATCTTGAGTTAATGGCACTAGAGCGTCATTTGATTTCTTGTAAGGCTTTCTTGGACAATCTACAAATTTGTGAAATTCAGAGGAGCAAGATGTGGGCTACCCAAAAAGCTCAAAAAGAGGATTACTGTCAAGAATCTTTTTTTTTTCTTAAAGATTGTACTGATAATCTATCATCATTGTAGCCTAGTTGTCTTGCTGTTATTGCTAAGTCATTGCTAGTCTTAGTTACCTTCTGTGAAAGTGAAGAGATTGTTAGAAATTCATTAAAATACTCTGTTAGATGTATGTTAAAATATTAAAAGACCTATGATTAAGCTTTCAGACTGTAAGAAAAGTAATTTTAAGGTTGCACGTGCCTGCAAATTTAATTTTGCTTCACTCAGGTTTTACTGTGCAGTTTAGTTACGTGACTGCATGCTGTTTCTTCATTAAATACCATGTAATATCATGGAGTATCTTCCTGCCAACTTGCTTACATATAAGAAGTTTTTAGTCTGTAGTAAGATGCCTGAGTCTGTCAGAGTCTTAAAAAACTACATTTTCTACTATACCACCTATAGTATTTCTCATGCATCATGCGGAAAATGGAATTTGTCTCACCTCTGTAGTTCATACCTCAGTTAGCAGCGTGACTCCCTACTAAAGGTTATACTTAGATTAAAAAAATTTATCAAAACTACAAAGAGAAAATAAATTATATAAAGGGGGTGAAGTCAGTAAAAACATATTGCAGTAATTAACCACTACATTTAATGTAAATTAAAAAAATATTAAAAACCTTTCTATGACACATATATCTGCAATCCTAGAAAGATCATATATGATTACATTATGTCTCAAGTAATGGAATTATAGATCTTGACCTCCCTCTACCATCTGCTGTGCGCTGCGAAATACTGCACTAACCCAGGAGAAAAACAACATAAGGAGCTATGTAAAGACTCAGATATATGTAGGCTATTTCTTTTATAACAGCCTTTGCATAGACTGCGCATAGTACTGTAGTGTTGCATGGACTTGAGGCTGTTCTTCTTTGCCCTGAAGGAGTCTGTAGTTTCAGAACTGGGCATAGGACATAAAAGCATGAAGTCACCTTTACTTAAGAGCTTCAGCTGAACTGAATAGAATTTAACTCGAGTAAACAATTTCTCTCTGCATCTTAGTTCAACTATGGCATGTAAGAAGGTTGAGTTACACACTCAAAACATGTTTCCAATGTTCCTGTTGCACATAAAACCTGAACTGTGCAATATCAGATCTTAATATATTTTGTTCACCTGTGAATATTTTCCATGATGCTCAGTTTTTTTCAGATTCTTATTCTTGCTGCATAGCAAAATGCTCTAGTATGCCGATGTTGAGGAATAGTGAACCTTGTGTGGACTCCCTGGAAAATTAGCTGTTTATATAGAAGAAAAATGTGACCTAAAAGGAATTATTTTCTTCAGGTTGCTTTTGCTTAATTTTTTGTATCACCCGTACATTCATACTTATTGTTGCAAATATCAACAGCAGGGCTAGAGCGGGATCTCTTTTCTTCTTACTGGAAGAGTTGAGTCAGTTGCAAGAGATGGCATTAGAGGAAGCTTGTCATGTTTGCTGCCCCTGTATATGCTCACTGTTCCAAGATTAAATAGGACGCTTGAATCTTTTGGGCTGATGACAATCTGCCACCTCACGCAAGCAGTAAATTCAATTTTAAAATGTTTAAAAGGGGATGAATGCCAAGCTGTCTATAAATTATAGAATTATATCAAGTAAGAATGTTCAGCTTCTGTAGCAAGCGAAAGCTGTTGGTTATCTGCTGCATGGAGCATCTCTTACTTTTCTTTAATTGCTTCTGACAGAGCCTTTAAAAGGCTGTCATACTAATAGAGTTTTCTGGATTGTGATTGCTTGTTCTTGAGAGGAATGTAAATAAACTGGAGGAACTTTGAGATTGCTGGAAATGTCAAATTCATTGAACTTTCTCACAGAAACCTCACATACCTTTTCTGAATTTAATTTTTGCTGATTATTCTTTTAAGACTGTTTTTCATCTTTTCCTTGCTTTCGGTCTTAATAGCCAGCAACCCCAACACGCACAATAGCAGCGACCCCCATTCAGCCACTTCCACAGAGCCAGTCAACACCAAAGCGAATCGACACTCCCAGCTTGGAGGAGCCCAGTGACCTTGAGGAGCTTGAGCAGTTTGCCAAGACTTTCAAACAAAGACGGATCAAACTTGGATTCACTCAGGTAAGGCTGTGTACATTAGTGCCTGCCAGTGTGGAATCTGAGGTCTCGTCTTTCAAGCTTGGAGGGAGACTAGAATTCCACCTTTTCCTAGGAGAACCTTCTTAAATAGCGTTATGCTCTGGCCTTTATGTAGAGGATTTCTAAGAAATAACAGAAAAAGCCATCTATCCATCTTACTTCCCTGTTGGTTTTAAAGCATAGCCATTTTCCCAGCAGGTATGTTACCAGCTCCAGATGTCATTGCATGTGTGCTATTCATTCTATAGGATGTAAAATGAATGGGACAAAGCACTTTAAAGCTGCCTTCAGATGTACAAAGTTCCAAAAATCATACGACACAATTAACTGCTCTGTCTGTTTAAAAAGTATGTCGCAACTATGAAGTTGCTTTGGATGTCAAAGGGTTTTTATCTCTCAAGTGTATTTTCCTATTAAACATCAATGATTTCTGTATTTAATGATTTTGCTAAGGTGTCTAAACAAAACCTGAAAGGACTGTTGCCTTTGAAGTTTTCTCCTTGCGGAGGTGAACTGGAGTTGCGGTTTGTTTTGGTTTGCTTAAAAGCTCAGAAATACCCATAGAGCAGAAGAAAAGTAATCTTGAACATGATGCAAATGATTGAATGAGAAGTACAATTAAAAGCACAAAGTGCCTTTATATGTTCCGTTACTATAAAAATTATCCCCCCCCCCCACCCCCCACCCCCAATATCTGTCGAGGTAAACAATTAATTTTGGCGGGAGTCTGTAGTAAGCATAGGCATGTTTTTTTCCTAGAAGAAATAGCATGCAAAAATCAAAGTAGGTATTTAAAACTCTCAGCTCAGAGCAGTCAATCCAACATACGTGATTTGTTGTTTCCTGCCCCTCCCATGAATAAGTAAATCAATTCTACCTGAAAGTATGTGCTGATACCAGATTTATTTTTCTGGCAAAATCCTAAATGTTTGAAAAATCAGGGTTCATAATGAAGGTTCCTGGCAGCATCTTAATTATAACTCAAGAACAGAATGCTCTTAGTAAAATGAAGTGCATTTTGCTGGCATGTGTACCTCCTTCCCTCCCTTCTTTCCACTAGAGGGAGGCACAGAAATACGAGTGATGGACACACACAAAAGCTACAATAGAGCAGAACAGAATAGAGTAAAATACAATAGCTTCCCTTATAGCCGGACTGAGCAGGTTCATGCAGATCTTTTGTTATTATGTTTAATCTGCTATGCTGTAAGATGATTATAAAGGTTCAACTAGACTTAAGTTATGGGTTAACCCGTCTTTATTGACGGGTAAGTGAGTTTTCATGGTGAAGAAAAATGAACACAACTGCTCAGGCTTGCATTCCAGTATTTGTTTTTGAGCTTAAAAAAGGGGAATCTTGAGAAAGTTATAAGATTACATTTGATCATTCCTATCCTACTCTGAGTTTGTATATGTATAATTAGGCAGTTCGAATAACTTCCACCTAATTGCATAATTGGATGATAATCCGAGACCTCTATTACTTTGGTTTCCTATAGTTGGATAAATAGACTGCCTTTCAGAGGACAAAAGAAATTTATTTCCAGTGGTACTGTAAGCTTTTTCAGGCTTGCGCCACCCCTGCCTTTCAAAAATAACTGGAAGATTTAGTTTGCATTGCAAACTAATCACTTACTGCATTCTTTCTCGTCAGCATTATAACAGGATTTGAACTTGAGCAGTTCTGTCTCTTCTTCCACCTCGAAAGTGGGTGATGGATTTAAATCCTTTTGTTTAATTGTTTTCCTTAAAAATATTTCCATGTTTGACATTCAGAGACACAATGAGCATACTGCATCTTAGCATTATTGCAGGTATGTGACTAACTGGTCAGTACAGATTCAAGCTATGTGAGTGAACATTTTAGACAATGCTATTTTTACTCTGTAAAAGGTGTTGCCTCTGCTAGTCTGTCTGAGCTTCTTAACAGATCAGTACACACAACAACGATGTGCCTTATAATCAGTTTCAGTTCAGTACTGGAGCTTCATTCAACCTACAGAGGAGATCAAATGTGTATACAGTGCCTTTATCATCTGTTCCATCCATCCTTTCAGTGGCCCATCCCAATATATAAAATTCTCATTCCCATATGTAAATTCCTTTGCCTACAGCTGAAATGCTGCCACCTTTTGGCATTGAAAACTATTGACAAAGAAATGGTTAACTATTCATTTTAAATCAGATGGTAAATGTTAGTAAGAGCAACATAAATACCAGAATTAAATTTAGTTAGGGGACTGGAGCGAATTTCATAACTCTTTCCTGCCAAGACATAAATCAACTTATCTCTAAAATGGTTTACATAGCCAGGTTTTCTTCTTCATAAAACCGCAAGAGCATCTATGTTGCTTCTCTTGGAATGATTTATGAGCTTTAAAATGCACAGAATCCTGGCATATGGGTAGAGGTATAAATGTGAGTTCCCACATGCTTCCTTTGATTGAAGGGCATACAAACCAATTGTTCTGGTCGTCTTCTAGGAGGGAAATTGTTTTCTTTGTGCAACCTGAACAATTTACTAAGCTTGCCAAAGGTTGTTTTCTTTCTCGCTTGGATGCGGTCATTCTGCATGCTGTTAGTATACTTGTGTCAAGTTGTGGTTGTGAATCTGACCAAAAAGGAAAGCCAGCTCTATGCACAATCCAACTAACCCACTTGCAGTTAAACTCCACTAACAATGCTCAAGCTTTTCAGTCTCTTCTTCTAGACTTTTCATACTTTTTTTGTTAAAAATCTAAATCAAACTACTTTAGACCAAATAGCGTACTTTAAAAATAATTACATTTTTTCAAAGGGCAGGACCTTCCAGCTTTAAAACAAAACAAGAAAACATGGTGGTTTTAATGGCAACAATGAAGAATGGATTGATTTTTTAAATTAAAAAAACCCAAGACTTTCCAAGTGTAAACTACATAGAGTTGTGTATATACACATACATATATGTGTATGTATATATACTAGGATAAGCAGAATGTTTGATAGTATCTAAAACTGACTTTTGAAAAGCAATGACAGATGTAAAGAGATGATTATCTGTCTGTAAGTCTCCTGGACAGCTTTTTGGCAGATGGGTAACGGTAGTGAAGACCACAGTTAATCATTATTTGAAATGGTTCAACTTCTTGTCCACTTTGAAATGTGTATCTGTGGGGAGAAGTTTGGTTTGAACCTCAGGAGATACTAGAAGTTCAGATAAGAGTATTTTTGCATCTATTTAAATGTGATATATGTTTACAGACATCTTTTCAAGAGTGTTTTCTAATTTGAGAACATGAATTCACTGCATTTCTGCTTATTTGAACTTTTCTGCTTCAGTGTGAAATATGCAGATACTTAAATGTGCTCCTAAAGAGAGCTTGGCCTTGACTTATTTTAAAGAACTAAGAAAAAAATTACAAGTTAATATTCAGTGTAATGTTCTGCTCAGTGATAATGCTAAGAAGACAAAGCATCAGGGATTTCCTGGAAAGAGTTACAATGGTTAAACTGACTGAGGTTTGACATTTCTTTATGGTTATTTGCTTTAGCATGAATCTTGGTATTGGCGAGCAAGTTTCTGTGAAACTGAAATTCCACACAGCAGCGAAGTCACTGAGAAAACACAAGAATATGACAGGATTCCTTGCTTTGGAAGTGCCTGTGTTAGTGAATCCCTTTTTTCTCTTTCTTTGTCTAGGGTGATGTTGGGCTCGCTATGGGCAAACTCTATGGAAATGACTTCAGCCAAACTACCATCTCTCGCTTTGAAGCCTTGAACCTCAGCTTTAAGAACATGTGCAAGTTAAAGCCACTTCTGGAAAAGTGGCTCAATGATGCAGGTGAACGAGTCTGTGTATTTCTTCACCAGCCTACCAAAATCAGTAGGATTCTGAAAAACCCTGAAAAACTGCTTCGTTTGTGCCCTTACGGTTTTATGAAGCCACCAATCTTTGTAACTGTCCATGGGACAAACAAGGGTGTCCATACTTCCTTTTTCATGTGCCCATAGGCATCCAAAATTGTTCCGATGTGGACTTCAGAATTGTGTTCTGCAGCCAGCTGAATAATTGCATGCAGTGAGGTATAATATGTGTCATGGTTTTCCTCCTTCATGTATATTAATGCATATAACTTCTAATCCTCTTCTAGCTTTATTTTTAAGATGTGTAGTACAGAGAGGGTTGCATGGTTTGTTGTTTCAGTAGGCAGAGCTTACTGCATTTGTCTCCTCCCACACCCCTATGTGCATTCTTTTCATCTCTCTCCAAGGGTCTGTATAAACACTCTCTTTCTCCCCACAGGAAGAGCTGTTTGTGGGTTAGGTTTTGCTTTTTCCTTCCACAATTCTTTTTCCTGGGAGATAAGTTATTCATGATGCCAATGTTGGTAGTGTTCGTTCTTTGTTTTCTTCTTTTTTCTTTTTTCCACCAGCAAAAGGATCTTTGGATGGTGGTGATAGGTGTTAGGATAGAAAGTGTTTAAGAGTGCTGTCAGCCAGTTTTTTTTCTTCCAAGTATACAACTATACATACTAAAAAACTGATGGATCTGCTAAACAGATGGCAGGGACAGTGTGTGCCTTCCTATTTTTACCAAAATGAAGAGAGCTTTATGCTGACACCTACAGTATTCTCTGAAATTTTGAAAATAATTGAATGCAGTGTTGAAAATTTGTCCTGCATTGAAACAAGCAAGTGTCATTCTGGTATGATGTGGGTTATCTTTAGGTAATCTAGATTTGTGATAGAAAACATAAAGATCTTCATACCGAGTGCTCTAGTCCACAGGCCAGTGGTTCCCAAACCTTCCAGCAACACTGGATGAGTCCAGTGCTGCAAGGAATGTCATAGTTTGCTTTCCCTTCTAGCCTGAAGAAATACTTGGATCTGTAAAGTTAAGGACTGTAAACAGTGTCAGGGTTCTTCACAGCCTGAAAGTTGGGAACCATTGTCGTTGGCTTTGATTCAGTTTCATGAAAGTCTTTGTAAGAAAGATTTAAAGGCTACTTTTAAGTAAAAGCAGGCAGGAGAAGCATACCAATGATCCCTTCCATTATGTTACATTTGAGTTTTGGGGAATTTATGGTTACAGAACTCAGCTTGTTCTATGGGGTTTTCAGCATGGAGAGGGGTTTCAGCACATTTATGGGTGCCATTACTGAAGGAAAAAAAAAATCTAGGAAATAATGAACTGAATGTATTTGCCCATTTGAGCCTATCAGAATGGTCTTGGGCATTGCAAGCTTTGATGCCTGCTTATCACCTATAAACCCCAGTGCAGTGAGGCATCTCCAGCCATAATTCATGATTTTGTTTAAATTCCCTGCTGGAACCTGCCTGTTGGTTATTTTGCACTTTCTGCTACAAAGTGGGGTCAGGCATGTTCTCTCTTTGCTCTTCTGTGGAGCCAAAAAGACAGCATTAGGGGTTGACGGTTGGAGATGGGGAGCTGCTAGCTGCGTAGGCTGTTCTGTAGAACTGTGTAGCACTGAGTATATGCTAAGATCTCCAGAGAGAAGAGGTTGAACACTGTGAAGCTGGCTAAGATCTTCTTCTACTGTATTGCAGAGTGGATAAAAGAAATTTCAGGCTGCTCAGATTTTTTCATAATTGCCTTGACTTACAGCTGTGGCTTATGAATATCAGTTACTGCTTTTTTCTTTAAACTGTGACTTGCAGTGAATGAGTGTGGGGTGGCATGAGATAAAGGGGACAAACTATGTATAGCTATTATAAAAGGGGTACTGTGGTAGCATACAGGAGCAGAGAGCACCCTCTGGGCTTACTTGTAGCTTTTAAGTTTCAAGTATATGTTGTAATTCACAAGTACAATGATTAATGCATGTGATCTTCAGAAATCTCTATATATCTGGAATAGATACAGAGTGGGTTTTAACATACCTTGCACAAGTGAAGAACACTTACATTAGACTGCACTGCATTCAAACTCCTGATTTATGTTACTTTCTTTTTTCAGAAAACCTCTCATCTGATTCAACTCTCTCCAGCCCAAGTGCCCTGAATTCTCCAGGGCTGGGGATCGAAGGCTTGAACCGTAGGAGGAAGAAACGCACCAGCATAGAGACCAACATACGTGTGGCCTTAGAGAAGAGTTTCCTGGAGGTCAGTGATCCTGTTGCTCTGCTGAGCCTATAAAGAAATGAAGAAACTTTGCTTAACAATCACATCTGTTGGAGTGAACCCATTACTGTACTGTTTAGGAAAGTGCTTGTGCTAAACAAGGTGAATACAAAGGCTTTGCCAAGAAGCATGCATCAAGGTCTAGTTCACTTTAAAAGAAACAAACCAACAAAAAACCCAACCAACACAAAATCCCTCAAAAAACCTCATTGATTCTTGTAGTTCACTGACTTTGTGATTTTGCATTCTAAGATACTGAGCCATAGATCTAAGCTTTGATATTCTGCACACAAAAAGAAGAAAAAAAAGATTACCTTTTCTAAGGTTGGTTAAATGGGGTGGCAGTCTAAACATACATAATGTGAGGTTTTTAGCTGACCTTATGTTACTCTTGTTAGGCGCTTTGTGCAGCTGTGTGGGCAGATAGCCTCTGCAAGCAGCCCGTGCAATCTGCCTGTCTTTCATTATAGGTCTAGACAACTTGGGGTTCATTTGGCTATTGTTATAGTTAATCTCTCCTATTCCTTTTCGAGAGATGCTGAAAGATATTCTTCCCAAGGTCTAGAATTCCTTGAAGGATTAACTTGCATGTCAGATCCCTTCTCTCAAAAAGACACTTGTGAGCTCAGTCTTAATCACCCATCTCTGAAGAACACAGCTTACTATTGGTAGAAATGTTCCTGTAACTAGGAAGGTGAAGGGCAGAAATATCTAGTATAGTCTATCTCTACTGTACCACCGATGAGATTCTGGATATAAATGGCCCATCCAGATTTCTGCCTAGAAGAAGAAGCTATAATGTAAAACTTCAAAACGTGATTTCACAGCTTTTCAAGTACTGTTTCCTTTTCTCAGAACCAAAAGCCTACCTCGGATGAGATCACCATGATAGCTGACCAGCTAAACATGGAGAAGGAGGTGATCCGCGTTTGGTTCTGTAACCGGCGCCAGAAGGAGAAAAGGATCAACCCACCCAGCAGTGGTGGAACCAGCAGCTCGCCCATCAAAGCAATTTTCCCTTGCCCAACCTCACTGGTAAGAATCAAGAAACTGTGTTGACAAAGATCACTGGAAGTGATATTTCTACTGTGCTCACTGTGGAAGTTGCACATGCTACACCTTCTTTGTACAGCAGGCTTGTTCTCACAAATTTATATTTTACTGGCATTTTAAATGATCTACTTGCACACTATCTAAGAGAGATAATGCTTACAAATCAGGCAGTAGTTGGACCTTCAGTTTGGGTGTTCTATTTAGTCAGCTAGTGAGTAAATATTCTGACTAGTAAGTTTGCATTTGGGGTTATTGCTTTGAACATGTTACAGATAGTAACTCCAGCTTATATCTGGACTTCCTCTCTTGCCAAAAATGTTTTGGTATAGTAATAAAAAAAATGCTTAACAGCTTTACCCCTACCCTCTTATTTTGTCTGCTCTGACAAGTAGAAGAGCAGCAGTAAAATGTATCATTTGGAGACTTAAGTTACACAAATCCAGTGATACCATGTTGTCACTTTTAGTCAGGGATGATATGTATAAAAAAAGAAGTGGAACAAAGGAACAATTTAGCTATTACTCATGTAATTAATTTTGCACACTTGTATTTGCCTCAGGTAAACACAAACTTCATGAAAATAAGAGTAACAAAACACATGCATCAAGGTTCCTTCAGCTCCTTTGCTACCAATGTCCATGGAGGTCTGTTTTCATAAATAGAAACAGTAGCTATTAGATTTCATAGTAGCTATGCTAATAGGAATGTGGTGGAATTTATGTAGCCTGTAGCTGTCCTTTTGTAGTATTTATTCCACCCTCATCACTGTAGTAGCTAATAATCTTCCAGTACTTCACCATTAATTTTGGTGACATGTCATTCTTTCCCCTCATCCTCGTCTCAGGATGTGTGCATGCAACCTTTTGTTTCAGGGGAAGGTATGATTGAAATTTACTTAGCATTTTTTTGTGCGTGTGTCCCCGCCCCCAATTGGAAAGCAAGGTTGCATGCCTTGCTACCAAAGCAGAACATAGTGAGATTTATGATGGTGTGTTTTAGTAACCATGCAAGTTTAGTCAGAATGCAACTTAAGAAAGCTTTCCTACAGAAATTCCCTGCCATTGGATGTAAGAAATGCAGGTGTTAACCAGAGTCTCCAATTTTTCAGCGATGTTTCACTAAGCATTGTCACTCATTGTAAGCTTCTCTAAAGACTGTGCTACCACTCACATGGATGTTCCAGCCCTGCTGCCCCCAGCCTTCACTGGCTATGTGCTTTGTTGATTCCTTGTATCAGCTCTGGAGATTATGTGTCCATAGGATGATTTGGCTTAGTTTACTAGTTTGACTGCAAATTAACCATGTGAAGAACAGTGATTAATTTTCAGTATGGCTGGATAACCAATCTGACTTGTAGCCTGGCTGCAGTAGTGCTAGGGCTCTGAAGCAGGGTTGGAGGGGAATGCTCCTTTTGATGGCAGCCTACTTTTGCATAGGCTGAAGTCAGTCATTGTAACCATGGGGTTAGCTGTATTAATTCTAGGTCATTCACTGCCCTGAAGTATGGATTGCGACCTTGGCTTTAACCGTTTGGTGGACAGATGACAGATACAATGTCTGGGCAGCATTAGTGGGAAGTGTACTATGTATCGAGCTCTTTTTTATTTCATACACTATTTGAGATGGGTAGAAACCTTCTAGATCTGTCCCAGTTGCCCCAGTCTTGTTTAAAATGCAGGAAGCGTTTGACTTCCTATAAGAGGATATGCAGCATGAGAGAGATTTCTCTGACAATAAACTTAAGGTAAGAGAGGGGAAAGGAGGAACGTTTTAGCTTATATCCTTGGCTGTGTTCTCTTGGACAATTCTGAAGGATTCATTTCTCTCATTGATGTATAACAGCCTTCAAAGATTAGTGTTGGACACCATTTCTTGTCCGTAAAGAGTCCTTTCTCTCCTTATATTTAATTTTTCCTTATAAGCTAGTTCTTCCAGCGTTAAATCTTCGGTGGTTTTTATCTGTAATGTCTTCAGTTTATTGTAGCTTTCTTGTAACAAGCTGTCTGCAAGTAAAATTAGCTAATGTCATTTGAATGTTTTAAAATTCAGAGATCCTTCCTCTGGCATAAGGAAACTTATCAAAGTAGAGCTTATAGTTTGGTTGAGTAAAAGTGAAATGTTATTTTGTTTATCCATGTACACACATTACCCTAATTACCTTTGGTAATGCTGGGGCATTTAAATAATTTTATCAGAGAAAGAGATTTGAAACAACGTTTAAACAAGAAAAAAAAAACATGCAGGTATAATATATTTTGTAACTCTTTCTGTAAGAGTGACTCTGTTAAAACAAGGTGCTCTCTCTGGGGGAAGGCAGAGAGGGAGGGCTAATGTGCAGTCCTGAGACATTGTGGATGTAATGGATATATCTCCCTTTAAATACGGAATGATTAAGTATAAAAATATTGCTGGTAATTAGAGAAGTTACTGTCCTTCGTCCAGTGAATGATAAAGGAATGGAATTACAAAAAAGTTAGTTTATATGCAGCGTTTTCCCTGGCAACTTCCTCAGCTGAGGATGGGAAGAAAGAAATCGAAGGGTAGTAGCTAACTCTTCTTTATCTTTTAACAGTTGAGCAGTTGTATTCTTCTTTGACCTCCAGGTGGCAACCACGCCAAGCCTTGTGACTAGCAGTGCAGCTACAACCCTGACTGTCAATCCTGTGCTCCCTCTGACCAGTCCTGCTGTAACTAGTCTGTCAGTCACAGGTAAGGGCTGATTTCTCTCACATTAACCTCCCTCACTTTCCCCTTTTAAGCTCTTCAAAAGGTCATTCAGTATCGGTCACTAGTATCTTGTCATTGTTCCTTGTTACTCCACTAGGAAACTTCAGTCTTTGTGACCATTCAGTTGACTTTTCTGGGAATAAAATCACAGGTCACTCTGAAATGAAATATGCTATATTGCATTGCTAGCCTCTAGAGCTCCTCAGCCTCCTGTTGGGAAGTGTCATTTCATTGTAGTCTGAGCTTCTCATTTGGACTCTCGGTGCTTGGTCCTAGAGAAATGTGTGTTTGTTTCCTGTTCACGTGGGTACTGGTTCCTGTTCAGTCGTGTCTGTGATTGGTACTGATCTAACCAGGATCAATCTTCCAGGCACAACAGAAACCACCTCCAACAACACGGCAACAGTGATTTCAACAGCACCTCCAGCTTCTTCAGCAGTGACATCACCCTCCCTGAGTCCTTCCCCTTCTGCCTCAGCCTCCACTTCAGAGGCATCCAGTGCCAGTGAGACCAGCACAACACAGACAACGTCCACTCCCTTGTCCTCTCCTCTTGGGACCAGCCAGGTGATGGTAACGGCATCAGGGTTGCAAACAGCGGCAGCAGCCGCATTACAAGGAGCTGCACAGTTGCCTGCAAATGCAAGTCTTGCTGCTATGGCTGCTGCAGCAGGACTAAACCCAGGCTTGATGGCATCCTCGCAGTTTGCAGCTGGGTAAGGATAAGTTTTTCACACCCTTTTAGGTGAGATGACAGAAGAGGGAAGGAGAATTCTTGGGATAAATTGCTTTTATGTATCACTGTTTTCTGGTACCTCACTTGGTGATTCTAGTGTCATTTATCTCAAAATCTGAAGGTTTACTTACAGATGGTAATTGACCATTCCCATTGAATGTACACAAATATTGTTCTCATTTTACAGATGAAAAAGCTGCGTTGCAGGAATGTTGTTATTTGATAAGTCATTTATCCCACTGCAGAGCTTGACTTAAGAGCTGCAACTTACCAGTGAATCGTAGAATCTGTTCTACTAATTGTGAAATGGAGAGCTAGCCTAGACCCATTTCAAACCTCTGTATTCACCTCTGTCATGAGCAAGAAGCTGTAAAAGCTGCGTGATAATTGTTGAAGTTTTAGTTTTAGAAATACTGCTCTGGGAGATGACTCTGTTTCTTCAATGCCTCTTGATTTACATCTTTCTTATCTGAATTTGGGAGATGATGATAGCTCTCTAACGAGTGGCAGTTTCTCCAAAATACTTTACGAGAATATTTTACAGCAACAGTCAATACAAGTCCTGTATTTGCAGTGCCTGTACTTCAGACATGTCACTAACCACACAGCTGAAAGTCAACATCTGCTCAAGGCATCATGAAGAAAAAACTAAAACAAAAATTAGCCCTTGATCTTGGTCTTTCCTCCCTCCCTTCCTCTTCTTCCCCCTGCCTTTTTTTTTTTAAATATGGTGGTGTACTTCTGAACAGTGACAACCTTTTCTTAAAAGTAACACTCCTTCCCTTTGTCTTTGTTCCTACTTCCATGATCTTGCTTCCTGCAGAGGTGCCTTACTCAGTCTCAATCCAGGGACATTAGGTGGTGCTCTCAGCCCAGCCCTGATGAGCAACAGTACACTGGCAACTATTCAAGGTCAGTAGTGTTCCTTTTAATGCACCTCTGTCATACAACTTCAGTTTATGTGCTTTGTTTTTCCTATCGAAAAAGAATACTGACTCCTCAGCACCGGACATAAATGTTATAGGAGTAAAGGTTTTACAAAATTTAAATGTGCAAATGCATTTTATTTATCACAGAGATAAGAACAGGTATAACTTCAAAAAGCAGATTAGAACTGTGTATGATCTTGCAGTGATTTACAGGAGGCATTTAAGATCATGAATGTGATCTGGAATTGGCGGGTATCTCCAGCAGGACAGAGATTTGGTTTTTATAGCTCTACTAGCATAAGCTCAGGCAGAGTTATGCTGTTTTGAGGTCTGTTAGGAGGGTAGTTCTGAGCAAGACTTGATCCTGAATTCTTGTTCTCATATGTATTTAAAAAGAACCTACAACAACTTACCTCCTAAAGTCCTTATGTAGAACTTTAAATCCATAAATCCTTATCCAGAGGAGTGAAGATTTATTTTGGAAGTGCCACACAGACAGAAGTTACCACTGGCTTTAGCAGTAGTTGTTCTCAGTTCATAGTTTGTCATCCATAAAAACTAGATAGTGCAAGTGCCTAAAGAGCTAGCTAACCTATGTATTCAAATATCCTCTAAACTAGCTTAACAAATCTTGTTTCGAGGGTACAAGAAAGAACCATTTTGTAAAGTGTCAGAGATAAATTTAGGACCTCATAATTTAAGGCAGACTGAACTCTGTATACCGGTGAAAGTAAGTTGTAACAGTAGTTGTACGTCAACATTTAAAATGTTCCGCTCGAGGCTATGTGACCTCCTTTATCTTGTGATAGCTGTCATTTCATGTGGAACGCTCATCTCAACCCTTTCCAATACAGGTTGCCTGGATGTACAGGTTTTCTGTGGCAGGGAACATAGACCAGTTTTGTGCTTAAAGATCTGAAGGAAGGCGTGATGGAATTAGTTTAAGAAGCAGACGACACAGGCATTTTAGTATCTGCAAGGTCTTGTCTGTTCTTCATTAAGAGCTGTTTTTTTAAAAAACAACCTGTGATGGGAGGACTGGTGGTGGTGGTATAGAGAGCACACATAGAAGAGAAAGGGAAATGCAGAGACCAGTTACTTTTAGGCACATTTTGCATTATGGCTTACTGCTAATGTTATCTCTCCTCCCTGCTCAATTTTCCCTGTTTTAGCTCTTGCATCTGGTGGCTCTCTTCCAATAACATCACTGGATGCAACTGGAAACTTGGTGTTTGCCAATGCCGGAGGTACTCCTAACATCGTAACTGCCCCTTTGTTCCTGAACCCTCAGAACCTTTCTCTGCTCACCAGCAACCCAGTTAGCTTGGTCTCTGCAGCTGCAGCCTCCGCAGGGGCCTCTGGACCAGTCGCCAGCCTTCACTCCACCTCCACCTCAGCTGAGTCCATCCAGAACTCTCTCCTCACGGTGGCCTCTGCGAGCGGGGCCACATCCACCACCACTACTGCCTCCAAGGCACAGTGAGCCGGGCTGAGCTGTGCTGCCAGCAGCCTGTTTCACTGTGCGGTGGGAACTGGCTGCCAGCGGGGTTCATAAACTGAAAATGTGATGGGCATCCTCTCGCCATGTTGCTGGGGACAAGGGAGAGAAGGAAAAATATAAAAAACAAAAGCAAAACAGGAAGGATTTAAAGCTGGGACAGACATTTGCCTAATTTTGTAATAAACACTGTCTTTTCAGGATCGCTTCATGGATCGGAGAACTTTCTAACCAAAAATGTAAAAAAAACAAAAAACAAAAAAACAAAAAAAAAACCACAAAAAAAGTGAAAGGACTACTTATCATTTCCAGCAGTCACAATGACAAGTTAAGGTGGGTTATCAACTCAAACATAGGAAGGGGGATTTCTTCTTTCTTTTTGGTCTAAATATCTTTCTTTTTTAATTATCATTTTATAGGTCTGTTGTACAGGCCATTATGTCATACAAGGTGTTTATAATCGTATCAATCATGTTGGGGGTTCCTTTCTTAACTGGTACAATTTAGGCAGGCCTGTATTACTGGTGTATCTCTATTATTATTATGATGATTATTATTATTATTATTTTTATATATATAGTTTGGACGCGTTTGTCTTTTGCTCCTGGATTATTTTCAGTGAGCTCCCACACCATGGGGGGGAGGGTGGGAGGGTGGAGAGGAAGAATGGAGCACAAATAGGCTTTCTGTCCTAATCTTCTGGGAATGTTCTGAACAGTTTCCTCATCCTTGAATTTGTCTAATGGTTACTTGTAGGGATCAGAAGAATTTATGTTCATCATTTGCGCAGGAAGCTCGGTGTAGCAGTAGAGATCATTGTGTGCAAACGTCCCGGCTGGTCTATGCTCTTTTTAAGCAGAGGTAGGAATTAGTTCCGAACTGCAGTTCTCCTTATCTCGATTACTTAGACAAAATGGCCAAATTCTGCTCTTAGTTTTGTGTGCATGGTCCCTCTTTACTTCAGAGAGTGGGATTTGTCCTCCCGAGTCTAGATTGTGCAACATACCAATGGCTTTTCTGTTCTATTGATTTGATTTTTCTGTTAAGAGCATAGAAAAATATTTTAAAAATGTTGAGTTACCCAAGCTAATTGGCAGTATGTAAAGCAGCATTTACAGTCCTAGAGACCTGCCAGGTGAATTGGTACAGGATTTCAAAGGTCAGAGTCTCCCTATTCATAGCAATATTCCTTTTCTGTTAATTCTGATGCTTCCAACATTGTATTTAGAAAATCTTTCTAGTAAAACAGTGCTTCTGACTGCAAAACACAGAAGCCAACAATATGAGAACAGAAGTTACCATCATTTATGCCAACACCATAGAGCTGCCTCTGGGGCTTTGCACATACCTAGGTGATCTCAATGTAGTCTGTGAGCTGTGATGCTGCTAGCTATGTAAAAATGGCAATAAGCATCTCTGACCAGAGTGTCAGGGCTTGCCTGCCACTGTAATGATCTTTTCAAGGTTGATTCTGATGCATGTAGCAAAGGATATTTACATGGATGAGGAAGAGTAACAAACTGTACAGAAGTTAGATCTGTATATTCTTAAATATACAATCTAGTATCTGAACCAAAAAAAAAAAAATTTTTTAAAAAGAGAAGACTGGATCACTGCAATGCAGTTCACTTTGAACTTTCCATTCCTGATGGATTTAAAGGTTTCTGCCATGTGTATAAAACTAAATTACTTATAGCTAGCTAGGGTATTAGAAGAGTCCCTTTCCCACCACCCCCTTTTCTTTTGTCACCAGAGTGTCCTAAAATAGTGAGCTGATAAAGCTATGTTCATTTTGTTGATGATTCAGGGGGATCCTGGAGCTTCTTATCCAAGATCCATAAGGCAGCAACTTTAAACTCTACATATGCTTTGGTTTGTGACTTGAGCATGTGGGATTTGTGTTTGCACTCAAGTGGCAGAACCCCTTATCTCACCTCCCACTGCCGTGTTTTTGCTCTGTTCATCTCTAACTCTCCACCTTCCTGTTTTACTGAATATTTAAATCAATTATCCCTAAAACTTCAAAACTAGTGAACTGCAAGCAGGGAAACTAACAAATGTCCGTCCACCGTTTCTAATGTGTTTTTGATTTTTTTTATGTTTTATTTTTTTAAAACTAAGCTTGAACCAAAGTCAATTTCTAGCAAGCTGCTGTACTAATGGACTAGTTTGTATAAGTGCAGTTCAGATGCAGAGAGGCGATAGATGCTACTGACAATTTCTTTTTCATTTGTCTTTTGTTTTTATTAATTTTATATAAAAGTTGCTGCTTGTTTTTAATTTTTTTTTTGTTGGTAATTTGTTTTATCCTTGGGGCAGACTCTAACTTGATTTTAATTTGTTTTCTTTTGTTTGATGTGTAAATAGAATGGCAATGTCAGGGGATTGTTAATCCAACAGGTCCCACCCTTATCCCACTGGTATGGATAAATCTAAGTATTTTTGATGTGTCTTTATGACTTCGGGCTGTGCAGGAGGCTTTTAGGGCTATGAATAGTACTCTGCAGAAATGGAAATGGCCCACATTAATAGTTTCAGAGCAGTAAAATGTATAGCTCGGTGAGCTTCAGGGAGGTAGAGAAGAAGTGGAAGAGGAGTTGCAAGTACCCACTGTGTTGGTCTGGAGGCCATAGCATGGACTACAGTTTCTACCAAAGGAATGCCTGTCCTTGTGTTCAGTGTAGTAAGAGGATGTGGAAAACTGCAGCTGTAACGTTCATTCCTGACTCTGGAAGTTCCCGCTTACTTTCACGCCTGTGCAAAAATACGATTTATCAGGAATTTTTTTTTTGTTAAAGGGGGGATGCTACCGGTCTTTTCTCCGATGTATCCTCTACTCCCTAAGGGGTTGGGGGGGCGAGCATGGTCCTTTGCATATATCTAGGAAACACAAAGAAAGGTGGGCCTTAAATTAGCATAAAATCCTCTCTCCACAGTTCAAAGAGACTGCCATTAGCTGTCTGAATGAGTTTTCATGTCCCATTCTTGCTGGTTTGTGGTTGGGAGAGGGTCTTGTTGAGTACATATCTGGAACACTAATGCAGCTTGGATGGTTTATTTATTATGAAAAACTGCTTTTTTTCCTGACTACCTTTGCATTGGTCGCATGGCTTTGGTGTGAGCACCTTATACCCCCTTACCCCCTTCCTCTCTACCCTTCACCCTGTCTGGGGCCCAGATTCCAGGGAATTTCTTAACAAGTCTTTTTCTGAGAGAAACAGGATACTCAAGAGCAGCCACATACCCAGAAAGCGCTTGGTTTTGCTTGCAGAGGCTGACATAATACCCAAACAGCACATACCCCATGGCATCCACAGAATCACAGAATCATTAAGGTTGGAAAGGACCTTAAAGATCATCAAGTCCAACCATCAACCCAACACCACCATGTCCACTAAATGACTAGTGTGCTCTGCTTCATTGTCCTAAAACATCCCAGTGACTGACTGTGACTCCTGGAGCCTGCTTTTCATCCCCAGCAGTGTTTTGTCTCATGGATGCTGGCTACCTCTAGTGTTTAGGTTGGCAGTGGGTGTACATCTGCCTAGTTAGAGTGCATATGCTCCTCCAGAGCGTGAAAGGAGTATGAGATCATGTACTTGAATTTAGCAGAATGGGTTTTTTTTTTAATCATAATCATGCTGACAGCAGAAATTGATGCATCTGAAAGGAGATAATAACAATTTTATATATACAGGCCTAGTAAATATGATCATGGTCTGAGTTCATGAGTGTTGAAAATGGAGAGTTATTGTCCCAGTAGACACTGGGACATGCACTGTCAGAAACTTACTGACCCAGGACATTTATTTAGCAAACAAATTTGACTTTTTCCTCCAACGACACAAAGTTACATCTCTGATTCCAATATCAGTAGATTGATATGTTGAATGGAGATGATTTTCTGTTACATGCTCACAGTCTTAAATCGTTACTGTTCTTTTTAGGGGAAGATTTTCTGTGCAAACGTTTTGCTGTATGCTGCTACATTTGCTCTTGTATTGATTTGTCAGCTAGGACCAGAAGGAGTTTCGTAGCGTGTTGGAAAAGGATAATAGCATCTCTTTTTCAGAGCTCTGTGTCTCTGTATTTAAAGGTATGTGCTGTTGGGATCACTCCACACGGCTCGACCGGTGTTCAACGATAAGATCCCATAGATTGTATCACGTCGGGGTCATCAGTTGCGGGGGAAGGATGGACTTCACAACTCTATGAGAGTTATATTCCGAAGCCGTTTATTGTCTTGTCTGACTCCAATATATACCGTAATTTTTGCTTAGTCACTGCGCACACACTCGTGATTGGTTACAGCTTGTTACACACATTATTGCAGTTGTCTATATACAAAATATCACGCGCTGTCCACGCGCTTCTCACACAGTCAGGATTCGCTGCCTGCAGGTGTTCCTGCACTCCTTTGCTGCTTCTTAGTTGTTTACCATAGCTCCTTCTTCTCAAGGCCGAGCCGTGCAGATATCCAGCTGTTTACCAGCTTCTCAATGCCACAGCTCCTTCTCTTTAAGGTCGAGCTGTGCAGATCAATGCCTCAGCTCCTTCTCCTTAAGGTTGAGCCATGCAGAGTGATCCCAACAATGTGCATTGCTTTTCATAGTTGCAAGCATGCCAAAGGATATGCAGGCAAAGAGAAGGTAAAAAACTCTCTCATTATAGCCAAGGACAGTTAGCTTAAAATGCAGAGATTTACAGAGACACAAATACAGATATGCCCTTAAGGTCTAGAAGAACAATTTAGAAAATGGCTTCAGGATGAGGTGGTGTAGGCTGGTGATGAAATGTTTTCTGATGTTAGAAAAACATATTCCAGTTTGGCTTTAGTACACTTGATCTCCTAAGAATGCCCTCTCTGTAGTCACTGTAGAGTGATTCATCAACAGCTCATACGAAGTACACACAGATATGGCTGCTTACAAGAGTCACATCTGTCTATTTAAATCTCCTTAAGAGGATTTATTTTGTTTCTGAGTAAGTGTGCAGTATACGTTAGTCTAAGTACATTTTATCATGACGCTCTGAGACAGTGTGTATGTGCATGCACTCAAAAAATTTTTGGGGAGATACCATGCTTGTTACGTGCACAAGTACCTGATTC